ATCGCCGACTTTAAGTGTTAGGGAAAGTGGTATGTTAGGGGTCTTTTTGGTTTGAAAAAATCTTAACTTAACGTGGCAAAGGTTCAAATCTCAACCAAGTACTGGTTTCTAAGACCAGCTTGGAATTCGAACTCACGCCTGACAGTTGATTAAATAAAATTATTAAATTAAAAAAAATATATTTCTATGTTGTGCTTGATTTTTAGTTCATCTCGTGATGTATTCTTATCGATTATTGTACTAAATAAAAAAAAAAAATGCGTGGAATTTTAATTTGAATAGTAAAAGGTCGCTCGAAAAAATCTAAACTAATGCACTAATAAATTGAAAAAATTATGAGCGACCTTTCAAAATTCGAATTTTGAACTGAAATTTTCAGAAACTTATTTTTTTTAGTCTATAAGATTATACCGTAACGAGAAAAAAAATAAAAAAAATTTTTGATTTTTGACGATTTTTGAAATTTTGAAAAATTTGGAGTGACCTCTTAAAAATTTTTTTCGAGCTGTCCTTTGGTGAGGGCTCTTAAAACATCAAGAACTAACATTTTTTCACTCGAGACTAAAAAAAAAAAATAGTCGGTTTTTTTGCGCCACCCTATTATATATACTTATACATAATTATATATAAAAAAATAGCCCTATATAATTATATAGAATAAGATATAATTATATAGAATAAGATATAATTATACAGAATTATATATAATTATTTTTATAAAAATAAAAAGAAGCTCGGTGTGCGCGGGGATCGAACCGGGGACCTGACGTTTGAAAGACTGACACGCTACTTTTTTTTTTTTTTTTTTTTTAGAAGTTTATTTGCTTTGATAAATACATTTTCAATACAGTTTAGGCCGCAGAACATAACATAAAAAATAGTCTTAAGAGTCTAAGATAATAATATAAAATTATTTCCGTTGTGTAGGCCGCTGGTCTCCTTGATTGGAGCGGCTGGTGCCTATCCGTTTTTTCCTAAATTAATTTAGTGTTTTTTTTGTACTCTCGTTACTTAAATAATTAATATTATGATTTATGAATATTCTATTTTCTTTTATAACGAAATTTTTAGTGGAAAGTTATCGTTAAAAAACCACTTATGTTTACTAGTTTCATTTTTAAGCTTAAGAACTAAATAAATAATTATTTAGTTTTAAGATCCAATATTTCAAATCAAAATCATGGAATTGTATGTAATTGTATATGTTTACTGTAAGCTTTGTAATAATTGTATATTTTATTTTATGTTGTACAGAGCCTGAAGAAGCTATGAAATATAGCGAAACGTTGCGTTTACCAATGCTGTTGATGTATTGATGTTTATTTGATCCTTTTATCCTCTTATATTGATTTTGATTTAAATAAATAATAAAATAAATAACTAAAACTATGACTAAAACTAATTATGTACAAAAATTTACAGTCCTTAAATTACTATCACACTACACTACTCGGGTGTATTCTTCTTCTGAGCTCCTTGCGGTGTTTGGATTCACTGGTGAGCCACCAATATTTGTCATCTAGTCTATGATCATCCATTTTGTCTCTAGTAGGCATGGCTTTTGAATAGGTGAAGTCGACCCATCTGAATTTGGGATCGTCTGCATCATATTCTATCTTTTTATGGGCTTTGTGTCTCTTGCAATGATAAATAGTTGGTACATTATCTTCGTCTTGGATGAGACCTTTATCATCTAGTGGAAGGAACGCTTGCGGTGGGAGCATGCCTGTTTCATTTCTTTTTTTTAGGTCTTCGGCTGTGAACTTGGTCAGGTTGTTGATCGTAGAATTTTCAATTGATGGTAGCTTGCTGAAATAGTCTCTAATTAAACGGATTATGTGGCTGTCAATTCTTGGGATGTCTGCTAGATTGTATAGCGTTGAATTGCTGATAAATTTATTGTAGTTGGAGGCTGCTGACCTGTAGGCTCCAAGGCATGCTCTTAGACACTTTCGTTCAAACACTGTAATTTTCCATTACTGCGGCACTTGTATTCCACCAGATTGGTGTGGCGTATGTCAGGATGGGCCTGATAAGTAGTAGATAACATATTATTTTTGCTTTTCTACTTAAATATTTATTATAAAATATTCGACTGTTGGCCTTAAATGCTGCTTTAGCTTTGACGAGCTGTATGTCAGGGTGCTATCTTATCCTTAGGAGCTGGTCAATATGAACTCCAAGGTATTTGACGACTGTTTTATGTGGTATCTTAATCATTTCGTTAGTGTTTGGAGATGGAGTAGAGATTTGAAAGTCCTTGATTTGAGTTAGTGCTTTCTTGCTTAGGTGATTGGATTCTCTTCTGAACACAGCAATCTCGCATTTCTCAGGGTTCATTCTGAGGTTCCAGATTTTGTAATAATCATTGATATTATTTACTAGTTTTTCAAGTTCATTTTGCAGTTTAGGAGGATTTTTGCCAGCAACTCCGACTATAATATCGTCAGCGTAGGCAACAGCGAATAGGTTTTCCTTTATGTTAAGATTGAATAGTTGTAGCAGGGCCATTGTGAAAATGTTGAACAGAAGTGGTGAGTTGACTGTTCCCTGTTGCAGACCTTCTAGAATTTTATACGTTTTATTTGAGAGATTAATTCCATCCCAGGTTCTAAAAGTTCTTCCTGTTATCATATCTATGATGAGTAGGGTGAGCCAATCAGGAAAGCCCAGTTTGACTAGTTTGTATATGAGACCGTTTATCCAGACAGAATCAAAAGCTTTTTCAAGATCAATCAATGCAACTGCTACTCGTAGATTATCCTGGAGGTGTCCCATTGTTGTGTCTATTATTTTGTGTATAGCATGAGTTGTACTATGCTTTGCTCTAAAACCAAATTGCAAATCGTGCATAATTTTTTCTTTAGTGCATACCTGTACTAAGTGGTTATTAATTGTCATCTCGTATACTTTGCCCAGGTTTGATGTGAAGCTGATCGGTCTGTAACTCGTAGACTTGCTGGGGTCTTTGTCCTTTTTTAGTATAGGAAGCACTTTGGCAGATTTCCAGACGTTAGGAAAGTATGCGTGATTGGTGGCGTTGTTGAAAATTATTACAAGATTACTGATGACTCTTGGTGAAAGATGTTTGAGTATAATTGATGGAATTTCATCAGGGCCACTGGAGGTTTTGTTTGGCAGTTTTCTAAGGATTTTTGTCAGCTGGTCATAGGTTACAAATGGATGCTCCTTCTGGGTCTGCGCTGATGAGTTGCTTTTTTTGTTGTTTAGGTGGTTGGGTATTATTAAACCATCATTAGCTGGATTTAAGGCTCTATTGTCCTTGGAGAAGTTAGTTATTGTAGTATCTTCAGATCTTCTTGTTGAGAGAAGTTCTTTGGCTTCCCCAGCTTTTTTATCAATCAGTTCTTTCAACTTAGTTCCTGTATTCAAGTATCTAGGTGCATTGATGGTCTGGTAAAATTCTCCAATGACGTTTAACTTGTCTATTGGTTCAGTGATCAGGAGCTCATCTTCAATCTTGATTGCTTTAATGACGTCTATTGCACCGCTTTGACAAACAGGATCGTTGATTTTAATTCGCTGATCGGCTATTGAGATACGGTTCTTTTTTCGGAGAAAACGATTGATTTTTGGGAAGAATGACGTTGGATCTTTATGATTAATTTGTTTGAGCTGACCTTTCCAATAATCCTCGACTGATTTATTAAATTCTTTCCTGAGTTCTGATTTAATAAGATTGATCGTGTGCTTAGTTTTCTGTATCAGCTCCAGTTTATTTGGGCTTGTTGAATTTATTGAGACATGTAGAAGGTTTATGGCTTTAGTCTTGTTTTTCTGCAGTTTTTTAATTTTAGCGTTGATATATTTAAGGATTCCCTCATTCTTTTTAACTATTGGTGCAGTTTTATTGATAGTGTTTACTAGAGCTGATGTTAGATTTGTTATGCCATCGTCTATTTCTTCTATTGTGAGATTTTTGTCATTTGCAAGTTCTTGTGTGTACTCCTTGTTGAGTTTTTTTAAACTTTTTCCATTTTATTGCACGCAGATTTCGCCAAGGAATTTGAATGTCAGCTCCAGTCTGCACTTCATGAGAAAGTATGGCTGTGAAGAGAAGCGCTCTATGATCACTGTCGTAGTATGCTGTTGTGATCTTGTTTTTGCTTGTAAGACCTGTAAGTGTGATGTTGCTTATGCAGACGTCTAGGAATGAGCCAGTCTTGAATGATGCTACGTCTGTGGTGTATATTGAAGATCTGTAGGCGTCTATCGATTCAGCTTCCCATGTTCTAAGAAATTTGCCTCTTTGGTTGTCTGCTGTATCTCCCCATTCCATCCTGCGGGTATTTAGGTCGCCCGCTAGAATGAAAAAATGATCTGCATTGCTTAGATCTAGACGTTGAAGAACATCATCCAGCTCTTGTATAAATGTTTTTCTATTTGAATTTGTAGCATAGCTACTGATGACAAATATTTTTTTGTTGGAATCTGTGTTCTGAAGTAGTTGAATTATAGTGAATTCTAGTATTTCGTTTTTTAAAGAAGATGGATATCTAATGACTTGGTGGTTGATATGATTTTTAATCAGAATCGCCGTACCTCCGCCTTGTTTAGAGTTCGGGCGATCTGTTCTGATGACTTTATATTTATGAGAAAGTATATAGTGAGAACTGTTGAGTTTAGTTTCAGATATTAATACAATATCAGGATTATATTGTTCTAATCTATTGTGTAGTTCAAATCGGCGTACGTTGTGTTGTAAGCTGTTAGCATTTATAGCCATAAATTTTAAGGTTGTTATTAATCCTTGCGGTTCACTAGTTTCACTTGTTTCGTTATCAATTGTTGGCTTATTATTCATAATTGACGTTGAAGTAGGCAAAAAGGAAATTAATTTTTCGTGTATTCTCGTTGATACTTCTATTGATGTTGATACTCATTTCTTTGATAACATTTGTTAGTTCACTAATTTGATTTGTGATGTTAGCCCAATTTTGTTGCTGTGGATTTTCATCACGGGGCCATTGTGATTGTTGCTGGTGATATTCAGGCTGTAATCTGAAAGCTTGAGACCTCGTATTCTCGATTACAGGTGGCGGTGGAGGTCCTTCCTGGAACGTTTGAAAGTTGGTCTGGTTTCTATGCTTTAGCGGAGGGAAAGGGTCCCTTGAAGGACTCATGGCATTAGCAAAAGAAATTTGTGGAGTCACTTCCCGATATATCGCCTCGATATTTCTTTCAAGTGATTTGTTTTTTTGTGCTCGTGCTTGATTTCTGCTAATTTTTTCAAATTTCATGAATCGACAGCCTGCGTAGCTTGCTGGGTGTCCATTTTTACCACAGTTTGCGCACTTGAACTTGTCTCTAGTCTTTTCATCCTTGAGCGGGCATTGAGCCGGAGCGTGTGAAGAATCACCGCACCTGACACATCTGTACTCCATCTGACAATTCGCTGCCGTGTGTCCAAGTCTTTGGCACTTTCTGCATTGGAGTGCTCTGTTTCTTCGTAGTCGCTCCCATCTAGCTTTTAGATTGAGCACTTGTCGAATTTTAAACAATTCTTTCAGACTGCTAGTTTATGTTACCTGTACGATCAGATGTCTTCTGGGTTCATCGTCACGCATAAACTTTAATTCTGAGACTTTTTTAAATACTACAGAGGGGATGTTTTTCTCTGTTAGATCTTTAAAAACCATATCTGTAGTTACGTCCGGGCTCATACTTTTGAGGAGTAAGGATTTAAGTTTTTCACTTTTTGGAGTGAAAGAGTAGAAATTAAAATTGTTAGCTATGAGAACCACTTTAATTTTTTCAAAGCTTAGCTGATTTTTGGCCAGGAGTTGGTGTTGGCCTTTAGACATTGTTATTGAGAAAGTTTCTTGATCAATGTTAGCGATTCTCAATGCTTGAATTGTGTCGATTGCTTTTTCACCTTGTACGAAGATGGGAGGTGGTCTGTATGTTTTAGCATTGGTTGTTTCTGTGTTCTGGGATGCGTTATCAGTAGTATCTTGTGTTGACTTTAATTGTTCGTTGGTTTCATCAATTCCATAATCCGTTTCCATAGTGTCGGTTTCTTTTCCGCTATTTATGGTGCATTCAACAGTATTAAGAACTTGATATTTTTTTTTTTTTTTTTTTTTTTTTTTTTTAATTAAAAAAGTAATATAAAATACAAGGCGTTGGTTTAACCAATGTAGCCAAAAGAACTTGATATTGGTTTGCAGTATCAGTTGGCGCCATCTGTGGAGTGATACCGGAGTTGATCTTGACAGAATTTTTTGGATACTGGAAGCCATCGACATTGGGTAGAGAGTTACGTCTATCCGACGTTTTAAGATTAGGCGTAATATTTGTTTGTTTATTAGTATTACCTTTTTGTGTTTTCTCCCATTTTTTATAAGATTCCTCGAGAGAAAAAGAGTTTCTGACCATGAATGGTATTTTTTTTTGTGCTGTTTTTAGGCGCGACGAGCTCTGCTTGTGCTTTGCGCTTTAGGTTTTGGCTATTCGCCAGTATATGTGGCACGCCAGCCATATTGGCAAAGACTTTTTCAGTATTTATTCGCTTTATAAAAGTGATTTTTAGTGGCACATATAAAACTAAAACTCACGACTATTCACTTTATCAGTTCGTAATGTATTTTTGAGACACTTAATAACAAATTCACTGCACAATGCAATCAATTTTTTATCAAAAACATGTGTTAGGTACAGGACACGATGTGTACAGTACGGTATCCATGTTGAGACTAGACTGACACGCTACCTGTTTACCTACGAGACTTATATTACTTGTAGAGTAGATATTGAAATAACTACAAGTAATGCAAATCGTATACATAATCAATTTTTGTAAGTTAACTTAATTAATACAGTTCCTATTATTTCATCTACAAAATACTATAGATTAACAGATTATTAATCATTGGAGTAGCAGAATCTGAGATAAAAAAAATTATATACAATTGTCTGTGATTCATATATAATTATATATGATTTCCGTATAGTTACACTGATTGAAGGATTTGTTTATATTTAATGAGCTTTATTAACTGTTAATAAGTGATTTTTTAATATCATGGGATTTAATTAATTTATATTACCAGTTAATAAATTATTTATTAAATACGATTTATTAAATGTTAATAAATATTTGTTAACAGTTAACAAATATTTATTTAAAATCAAAAGCAAAAATAGCAATTTTCTCTTGACATTTTTTATAACTCGATAGCTGGAATACACGATAATAATTCAAATCACTAAATAAATTAACGTTTTTAAGATTTCAAAATATAAAAGATAATTATGAGCTGTAATAGAATTCGGTATATTACAATTAATGTTATTATAATATAATTATTGCAAATAATTTATAAAGATGATTTTTGTTTATAAGCAATCTTCATGTTATATGACATTGCCAGTGAAAAAAATTCACTCAACAAAATATTTATTAAAATTTAATAAATTAAATAATTGTCTTCAAACAAATTAAAGTTCTAATAGTTAATAAATCCTTCTATCAGTTTACATACCATGATATATAATTTTATATAATCATATATAATTTCATATAATTGTATATAATAATGTTTATAACATTTGTACAATTCTATAGAATTATTTAAAATTATATATGATTATATGTAATTATATATAATTATATGCAATTATACATAATTGTATATGATTATATATAATTATTAAAAAATACTGCATCTAATTATATATTATTATATACAACTAGCTGTTACCCGCCCGCTCCGCTGGGCACTTAAAATTATATTAAGAATTGAATAGAATTTTATTTTTAGATCTAGACTTGAAATTTAATTGGAGTATTGTTTTGACTTGCACAGATTCCAAATTCCATCGGATTGACCTTTTATTCCTGTGATTATTCTAGCTAATATTTATTTTAACTTTCAATGTGCAATCACTATAACATTCCCGTGGCTATCTTCCAAAAATGAATAATGATTGACATGAAGAAAAAAATATTTAAATCGGTTGACCTTCAAGGCCATACATTTAATATCCTGTTTTTCTTAAGATTCTATCAAATTTTATATCTGTAGGAACTGTATTTGAAGAATATGAATTTTTTGACAATTATCACTCTCGCACTCCTATGTTAGGGAAGAATTTCGTAAGATCCTATTCAAGATGATTTCTATATTATAAATAAAAGGTTACAACAAAACTTCGAGTCCATAGAAACTATTGTTTGAAAATGGGAGATTTTCATTGTTAACGTCCCCGCAATCCCTTTTAGGGTTAGAATTCGAGAAAATCCATTCTCAGCTGAACTTGACATTATCCACGAAGATTCCTACTAAATTTGGAGTCTATAGAAGTTACAGTTTGGAAATTAAAATATTAGATTTTAACACCTACCCCCACAATCTCTATCGGAAGTAGAATTTTTTGAAATTCGTTTTGAGATGATCTTCTGATGACAAATAAAAGATTCCTACCAAATTTACAGCTTTTAGAAGCTATATTTTGGAAATTAAGATTTTTTTATTCTTAACCCACCCCCGCAATCTTTATTAGAGATGGTTCGTCGTAAAATCTGCTTAGACTATTTCTACATCACATATAGAAGATTCTTATCAAATTTGGAGTCTATAAGAGCTATTACAAAAGGGAACTTCTCATTGTTAACGTCCCCGCAATCCCTTTTGGAGTTAAAATTCGAGAAAATCCATTCTCAGTTGAACTTGACATTATACACGGAGATTTCTAACAACCCCCACGGAAAAAGTATATATTCTGGAATATATTCTGAAATATAGGAGCTGTTCTATATATATTTATATATATATATAGAACAGCTCGATATAT